TGCTTTTTTCTTCTTTTTTCTTTTTTCTTTTTTTTTTTTTTAAGTTTTATCAACCCTTTTCAGCTTGCAGAAAAGTTTATGATATCCGGATGCTGAAGACCTGTCGAAATTCTCAATTATGCCTAAACATGAAAATATAGCTCTAACACCTAAACCCTCAAATGTTTTTAAAGGCACTGTGGGAACAAACATGTTGTTCCCTAAGTATCATTAATGATCAATAAAGAATACCAGTATGATTGTGCCAATTTTACAAAGAGGGAAATAAGTTATGAAAATTTTGTTCTAACTAGTGCTATTTGCATTTGTAAGGAATAATTTCTTTATTTTTTCATTATCTAATTTTGTTTTTGAAATGTTTAAAAAGTTCCTTACTAATGATTGCTATCTGAATTGTGAACAATGTTACAGCATTGTCTCCTAATGTCTCCTAATGCATATTAGACATTTTTCTGCTTAATCCTAAACCTGCTGCAGATATTTAGCATTGTAGCTTTTACTGCCTTTCATGTACAATCTTTCCAGTGAAAGGAATCCTTTTTGGTATTGTTCCTTGTAGGAAAAGCAAAGTTGGACAAGTAAAATATCCTGTGTTGACTGAGTAGCTCAATTCCTAAGCAGCAATTCCAAAGCAGGCTTCAGTGGGAAGATAAAAATGTGTTTTCTAGAAAAAAAAAAGAAAGAAAAAAAAAAGGCATTTTGACACTGCCCATTCATTCAGAGCAGAGAAGATATAGGAACTCTATGGGTTCTTGTGAATCAGATGTTGGGAATATCAGACCTTGGAGGGCTAAGGCTTTGTGTATTATGTAGTATGTGCTGAGTCCCCCTTCCAGGTGGCAAACAGCTGCACCTATTTATAAAACTTCAAAAATAAACCTGAAGGGCTTGCTTTCAGGCAAGAAGTGTTATATTTAATTGAGTCACCCTCCAAACATTATAGATTAACCTCCAGCCCTCCCCCCAGAAAAAGGATGGCGAATATTTAATATATTTGTTTTGCATCTCCACCGGCCACTAGAATAATGAAATTCCTTAACTGCTTCTCTTTAGCTGGCACGAAAGAAAGGCCGGCATGTCGCTAAATCGCTTTTCACCGGCCCCGCCGAGAAACAACTTTAATCCTTGTTAGGGGATTGCGGGGCCTGGGCCGGACAAAGAGGCCGCGCGCGGCGCTTTGTGAGCGCGGGGAGGCCCGTGCAGCTGCCGCCGCCGCCGCTCACGGCTCCTGGGCGAGGGCCTTCATCCGCCCCGCGCACAAAGGAGCGCAGGCCGGGCCCCGAGCCGCCGGGCCCCGTGGGGATCAATGGTGGCCATTCAGGCTGCCCCCTCCTTCAGCGCTTTGCTTGGTTAATTTAAGACTAAAGGTCTGCGGAGGGGGTTTAGGGTGTTTAAGAAAGCTGATGAACTGTTTAAGAAATCTGATGAACTGCGAGCGTTTATAGCCCTGGTGTGGCAACTATTGGCACCGAGGGAGCTGTGTCCTTGTTGACCCTCTTGTTATTAAAAATGCACAAGCGCTGCGCTTCTCAATATTTCAGCACTCTTTCATTGTCAATACCACCTTCTGAGCCCTTCAGCTTGTTGCTTGCTCTAAAGATCTTCTTAGATTGGGTTTGAAAACTTCACCTTAAACACTAGATTAGACTGATGTTCTGTTTTCCGTGCTCCTGTTGATTTGTTGAACCTTCCCAGGGCTGGAAATCAAGTAGCAGCTTGATGGGGAGACGGGCTGCTAATATGATTTACCAGTCTACAGTCATGCACAATAAGTGTGAATAAATACAGGGGTCTCACAGAGTCAACCCTGGCCTTTCCTTTTCTCTTATTTTTTACTTTAAAAGAGGTAGCTCAGGAAAATGAAGTGAGTAATGCATGCCCTTACAGGAGCTGGATGAGCTATGAATAAGAGAAGGGAGGACAGGGAGGCAAACGTATTTTTGTTAAAGTGGTTGGTTGCTGTTATGTGCTGATGTGAAAAAAAAATATGATATTCACTCACTGCTTTTTTCTGACATAGAAAACAACAAAGAATAAGCCACTAATGCCTTATCATTGACATCTGCCAGAGTTGCATTGTCCCTCCACTGCTATTGATAGCAGGGGAAAAAATATTTATAGCTATCTATATTTATATAGAGATATATAAAATAGTTATAAGGATTTTTTAAATTACTTAAAGACTTTGGAATCTAAAAGCCCATGTTTAATTGCTGAAGCTGGTGAATTTGCAATAGATTTCCATATGTCACAGTAGATGCATCTTTCCTCCTATAACATGCTCTTGATGTTCAAAATGTTTGGCCTTGGATTCCACCTCCAAGAGGCATTTGCAGCACTGTGCATTTTAGCAGACAAAAAAAAATGTAACAGGGATATATTTACATTGCACCTTCTGTAGTCCAGAAGATTTATATTTATGCAGATTAGGCCTTTGCAAGGACTCAGAACTGGTAGTGTAAGCAGGAATTCTATCCACAGGTGCCTGTGGGAAGACTCTGAAAATTTACTTGCTGTGATTTTTTTATTAAATATAATATGGCAATTCTTCAAAATAAGCATTTTCTTAAAATATAATAGCAGTTACGTTTTTCTGAGCAATGTATTTTAATGCCTTTTGTGACCACTGAATTACATATTTATATCAAAGTGTTAGCATATTAAAAATAAGCTAGAAAACCATTACGTTGTTTTCACTCACAAATTGGAGACACAAAAATAATTATCTTCTGTTTCTCAGCATTGTTCTCGGAGTGCATTTAAAGACACTGCAGATGTGCTGTGGAGTGCCTCGTTGGAACTGCAGATTTTTTTTTTTAGGTTTTTTTTTTTAAGGCACATGCTTTGCCAGAAAAATGGAACTAAGTCTATTCTTAGTAATCCTGCACCATTCAGTGGTGTTGCGTGGGGTAATCAGTCACAGAATTTTCAATCTTATTTGTAGTTTGCTCATGTGAGCAAGTTTGAGCCCCTTCTGATTTCTATCAGTTGTTAAGAAATACACTGTAGATGTGGGGTATTTTTAATGGAAAATTATGAGATCTGAGAAAATTCCTCTAACAAATCCAGGCTCTTGCTTAGGTTAAACATTAAAAACTGTAGAGTCTGAGTGATAACATAGTCATTTGACTCATCTTATTATAAATAGGAAAACATGATCTGGGCATAATGTTTTGTATATGAATGTTTGATGTTTGTTAGATTAATAATGTTCACCAAACAAATAATCTTAAGGATTTTTATTTTGTATATATTTCTATACATACTAGCTTTAATATAGTGTTCACAATTGCAGCTTACCAACAACTCTTTCACATAAAGACTATTTTAAAAGTACTTGACCTTTTATGTGCTTGTGATTTATTTAAACATGAAATGCAAGTAATGGGTGTGATAGTGAAAATCCTGTAAAAAAATGTTATTTAGTGATATAAGACGATATGGATGCAAAACACATTGTGCATTTTATTGAACAAATCAAGTTAACTCTATGAAAAAGGTAGCCATCTGTGTTTCGTGGTGTATTTGTTCGCTTCTGTAAAATAATAAGTTAGTAGAAGTAACTTTAATAAAATGCAAGACTAACTCATTTCCAGTGATTTATAAATCAGTATTTTTAACATGTTAAAAAGTATGGTAAAGAAACTCGCTATATAGAAGTCAATATTACATGAAAATCTTCTTATTTCAAATATCTCTTAGAACTGAGAGTTATAATGACATAAGACTTAGTTCGCTATAAGGAAGAAGTATTTAAATATTTTTCTGTGTGTATACAAAGCTCATTCAAGAAATCTTACATTTTGATTAAAGAATTCTATCTTTGATTACATCCAGTATCCAGTAATTTGTCTTCATTTTTCAATATGTATTTTATTTTACTCATTAATACAGAGATTGTTAATGAAGCATGCAATAGCCTTTCTTTGAATTTCTTTGTCATGTGTACATTGTATAACATGCTGCATTTTAAAATATGCACAATGTTTCTTCTCTCTGCATATCAGTGTATTTTGTAAAGACCCAGGAAATTAGAAAAGAATTTAAGCCAGTTCCCTGTGGGGGAAGAGACTAAAAAAAGAACTGAGACACAAACTCTCTTAATCTTTTATTGCTAAAGTGAAAAAAAAAATCCCTTCCTTTTTCCTTTTTATAGTTTGGCTAAATGGCATCTGGTTAGTATTTTATGGAGGGAGGGAGGAGGGCGGGGGGAAATGCTACAACTATTTTTCGCAAAATCTCTTTTAATCCAGTTAATGTGAAAGAACTATTATAGCAGCTATTTGCATCTGGGATTTTTTTTTTTTTACGGTAATGTGGACACCAACAGCAGAGACTTATTCTTACCAGGTACATTTGTAAAGCTTTTTGTGTAAGCATACTCATGCCTAAAACACAAAAAGGAGATAAGGTAGGCTGTAATTATAATTAGCAACTAACAGAAAGCAAGGTCTTTCTTAAAATGTTTGTTTTGGGAGAAGTAGTTTAGAGTCATACTTAAATAGAGTTTGGATGGATTATTGATGTTTTGCCTTAATATCAAAGTGATTTAGAAAAAGTGAAGTGTAATAAGCCCTTACTTTGTTTGATGTTGTTTTTCTGTTTGATTTGAAAAATCTGGATATTGCAAAATTTCTCTAAAGATTGCCAACCTGATTTTCCCCCTGCTGTTTTGGCAGACAGTTTGTTCATGTAAGTGTGTTTAATACCCACTCTTAATGATAGCAGATAGCAGAGTGCATAACTCTATTTTGCATGAAAATGTTATAACCCGAAAGAAAAAAAAATAGCAGTTGCTAATTCGTGTAAAGAACAGTCTGGGTCAAGCTATTTGATTTCCTACTGACCCATGCAATTCTCTTAACAGGAAATTATATCATTGTTGACTTCAAGTGCTGATCTGTGATCATTTCAAAGTGTTTCATTACCTCTCATTACCAAATCTGTTAAATGAATACTGCAGGGTGGTGGTTTGTGATTTTTTCTATCCTTCTTTTCAGCAATGGTATAGCAGTTCCATGAAAGTCATCTGCATGTGGCTGGCTGATAGATTAGATGTTCAGCTTCACATCTACCAGCTGAAGACTCTCATCAAGATAGTGAAGGTAAACAAGAACATCTGAATTTGATTGCATAGTAAAGAGAGAAAAGTAATGAAGTATTAAGTAACGATAAACATAGATCACCATAAAAGCTAAAAAAAAATGTTAAATAAAACTGCTGACTTGCTTAGTGTTTTTTTCTTTTTAATAAATATATACATTTGTTGCAGTCCGAGAGGGGAAATAAATAATACTATTAATGTTAATTTTTGTACACTTGTAGATTGTTCATCCTGGGCCTCAAGTGACAAAGTTGCATGAGCAAAAATCTTGAAACTCAGATTGTTCCAGAGGATTTAAATAGATTACTGCTAGCTGTACAGCAATGCTGTATATTATTTCTAAGAAATTGTTTTGTTATATTCCTGAATTTTGTTTTAGCTTAATAATAACAATAGCATTATTTCTCATTTTTTTTCTGCACTTCTCCAAAAATAAAAGGCATTTTTTCCCTTTTCTATGTTCATATGATTACCGAGTTAAATTGGAAAAGAACATGCAACATGTTGTATAAAATCCTACCTACTCTGGAATAAGTGTCAATACGAATAAGGATGTTAGTCCCCCCAGTCAGGTCTTTGGTCATTTGTAGTGCCCACTGTCAAGTATTTCTAAGGAAAGTGCAAAACACCTTGCAATAGGCATTTATGACCTGCCACAAAGGGAAGTTTTTCCCCCCTCTGCGTTAGAGGTTAGTTAATACCCTTATGCAAGAGACTGGAAGCCATTTCAGAGTTTTTCCTTTGAATCTTATCCTGATTAGCTCTGAACATTCTTGTTGCACGTGTAAGAGTGCAGTAAGCAGCTGATGTCAGTGATGACCCTGTTGAGTCCAAAGTACCTTTTCCATGAGTTTCAGGTGAGATTGCACAATAAGAGGAATTTTCACTTGGGGGCACTAGAATTACAGCTGGGACACTGGGACATTCAGTGTTCACTTCCAAAAAAAAAAAACAAAAAGAGAGAAGGGGGTGAGAGAGAGAGGGAGAGATGTAAGAGCCAACATAATAATCATGTTATCAAGGCTCTGTGAGCTCTCAAATCTCAGCTTTGCTATTTTCAACCTTAACAACTCATCTCTCAGTGAACAGGATTTGGCTTCTCCTCTTGTGGCAAAAGCAGTTTGCTTCCTGTGATCAAAATGAATGGCTCTTGTGCAAGATTTAAAGCTCTTCTCAGGTGAAGATAGCTGTCTTCCTCTGGGGAAAAAAGATGTTATGGGACCTCAAAACTGTGCCCAGGGAGATCAGGCTAACTTAATCCAGTTGAATATCACCCTGAAGATTAAAGAAAAAATCTTTTTTCAAAGAGATGACAAGTGACAAAGGCCAGTGAATCAGCAACACCGTCAAACTTATTTCTGCAGCTTGGAGCAATGATTAATTTTGTCTACAAGGAACATGCTCTCAGTGGTGTTGTGAATGCACCAGTTATCTTGGCAACTTTTTTTGTGCTTATACTCATGGTTTACTTTGCACATAAATTCTAAGGGTATTTACAAATTATTCCATAACACCTTTTACAAATACGGAAAATTGAAGAAGATGATGTCAGTCATAGAGCTTCTAGTCAATGTACTGAAAGACAGAAGACCTTGAATGCCTTTGTTTTTGCTGGTACAGAAGGCAGAACCAGTAAAACAGTAATTTGGGAAAAAGGAGACATATGGAAAATTAAGAGTCAATGGTTAAAGGAGAATACTATAGAAAGCTTTCACTGCAGCAGCCTAACTGGAGAAGGGTTCTTGAGGAAGCACCATTCCTCTAAACTGTGGAGAAGAAAAGTGTTTTTTATCTGCTTGTCTTTGAGAAGTATGGGAGGCCATGTTGCCCATCATCTCCTTTTCATATGCTGTGAGTTTAAATATTTGAGAAGATGGTATGGACAAATTTGGAAATATTCTGGGAAAAAAAAATAGTAGGAGGTAATTTTTGACAGCTAAGAATAATGAATAAGTGATTCTTTCATATATAGACACAACAAAGGCACTTTTAAGAAAGACTAGAAGAAGAAAACATTGCCTTTTCCATTTGAATCAGAGATTCGGGGATGGTGGCATTTCGTTAGGTATCTGAGAGACATTCAGAGACACATGACTAAAGAAAGATACGGGCCAAGAGGAAAGTTAGGGAGAAATGAGAAATTTAGCTTGGAAGTGAACATTATTATCCTGCAAATGATGAGCAAAACATAAGTCACATCCATTGACTCTGAAGCTGACCCATAAAAGTCAATAAATCTCCATTGCAATGATTCAGACGGGGTTTAAATTACCACCATAGATAGTGGCAGAAAATCTCCCAGTGGAATATTACCCATTTTTGAGATGTGTCTTTTGCAGTTCTCTGAGGATTTGAGTAAACCATGTTCATCTCTTCTTTTTCTTTTCATTTTCTGAGGGTGGTGCACAGGCTTCTTCTTTAAGGGAACAGATCCAATAGCCCTTACTTATTTTCCATTTCCTTTTTGCTATAGTCTCTTCCTTAAACATAGAAAACTTAAAATTATAAGTCACAAGAATTAAAATTAATAGTCACAAGAGAAACTGTTATGTTATAAAATATAGATGACAATTTAAAATTTAATTTTTTAGCATTTCTTTTACATATGGAAAGATAAAAGAAAAAAGATGTTTTGACTAAAGAGCATTTTCTGTGAAATGCTCCATCAAAATCACATTTCAATATTCAGTTAAACAAAAATCTGTCTTGGTTTCTTACTGAATAAGTTAGACAAAGTAAGTAATTCAGAAATGTGTATGCAGTTACAGAAATCTAGTACAAAATGCAACCTGTTAAAGAAATGTCCGTGGTTTGGGTAGTCTCATTGTGATCTGAGGGTGAAACCAGGTGGCTCCACTTGCTCAAGAGTTCTTTTTTTCTAAAATTGTGCCTGAAAGGTGTTAAGACCTGTGCCCATGAAAAAATAGCTAAGATCCCCAAATATTTAGCAAATTCCAGCCTTTAGTTCCATAACAGTAAGATGAGCGAAGCTGTTCTGCTGCCATGCAAAAAGTGGCCACTATATAGTGGAAAACTGCTCTGACTTCCTTTAATTCCAAATGTTTGGGTTTTGTCACAGAAAACCTACCGAGACTTCAGGCTGCAAGGTGTGCTGGAGGGAACCCTGAACAGCAAAACCTATGACACTGTTCACAGCCGGCTGACAGTGGAGGAAGCTACAGTCTCAGTCACAGCCGCAGGAGGACTTCAGGGCATTTCCATGAAAGACAGTGATGAAGAAGAGGGATAATGTTGCTTCCCTAGACGCTGGGAGTTCTGGAGCGATGGTTGGAGGGTAGGGGTTATTTTGCTTTTGCAGGGAGGGGGGTGGGTAACTTTTTGTCCTTGTTGTTGCATTTATAGTTTTGCCTTATGATATAGGTGCAGATATGTAATTTGCTCTACTAAAAAAAAATAAAAAAGAAATTAGGATTATCCAAGGAAAAGTGCCAAGGACTTTCTGGTTGTAGCATATTTTAATGTATAGCTTTGCTTAGGGCTGTGAGAACACTGGCATGGAGTTTGCGTTCCAGTTGTGGTTAAGTTTCTTTCCCTTTTGTTTGCTGCCATTTGTTCTTGTAGCCCCGTCAAATATTGATGTCCTGTGCAGAAAACAAAATGTGTGCCTCCCTTCAAACACGCCTATACAGGAAATCATTCTTGGAATAATTCAGTGCCCTAGGTAAAAAAAAAAAAAAAAAAGAAAAAAAAAAGTGTATTTTCAGGATTACACTTCGTTTACTTTTTTAATGTGTTTTTTTTCATTATTATGTGATGTACATTAAAATCTTTAATCTTGGTTCTTTGTATTTTGAGGTCAGTATATAAGTAGTAGGACTTCAAGGACAAACACATACCAACTACTTGTGAGTGTTGTTGTGTCTTCTGTTTGCCAGCGTCCATTTTTGCAAGTTTAAAGATATCTCATCGTGTTGGATGTCAGTAAGCTTGCCATCAGTGTTCCTATTTCTGTAAAAGATTTCAGGCAATAAGAACACATTTTGTCGTGGCCCCCTTCTGTATGTATCAAAGTTTGTATAGAATTCTAAAATTAAAAGCTGTTTTGAATATTTGAAACTGTTTGAGCTGTTGTATGATTTCCTCAGAGGAGAAGGTTGATTTTGAAACGTTTGATTGCCAGGTGGACACAGCCTCTCCCGTGCTGGGCCCAGTGCCCTGGCAGGGTGCACAGCGAGCTCGGGGAGCGTGGGGCATGGAGCGCAGCCCCTCGCGGCACTTGTCACGGGTGCAGGCAGATCAAGCCCGTCAAGCCAGGACTGAGCAGCACTGCTGAGCAGCACTGCTGAGTGCTGGTGGTTTGGAGGCTTGGAGGGTGGAGGAGGATACAAGGGGCAGAGAGCTCAGCTGGCAGCCCTAGCAAGCCAGGAGCAAAAGAGCCACCCTGGTCATAGCAAGGGCTTGGATGAACCTGTGGGGCAGTGGCCACCATCACTTTGCATTAGCATTGCACTGGACTGGATGGAGCACAGGAAATCCGGGTGGTATTTTCCACCGTTGCCAGGCTCCGAGGTGACTTTGGTGCTTTGGTCTTTAACCTCTAAAAGAATCCTGCCTCCCTGACCTGTGGGACCTGCTGAGGCTTCAGGTGTGTGCTGGGTCCCTTCACATGGACCTGATCTGTGGAATACTCCTGGCTCCTACCTCAAGCCAAAGACCATGCTGGCCAACAGGCCCAAAGGGAAGTACTGCTCCCTCCCAGTTTGTTCTGGGGCACAGGGCACCTTTGCAGTGGAAGTGTCAGGAGTCTTTTTAAGTGCCTGAGCTGACACAAGGGTAGGAATTGATACCAAAGCTGGGCACTGGCCCATAGCAAGTGCCTAACAGCATGTGGATCTGCCATAGCAAATTCTGGAATAGAAATGACCTCTTGTCATGGAGGAGATGGAGGAAACTCTCCTCCATCTGAACTGAGAACTGGCCTTGCAGCGACCCATCTGCCCAGCTCTATTAGCCAAAGTTGCTATGGGAAACTAACAGGTTTAACTCACCTCCCCGTCCCCATTGGGTTCACACTCTGTCCTAGGTTATCATCATGCTGAAAAGCCTCCTTACTAATAATAATTTCAGATTAGGTTACAGTGGGAATACTGGGGACCTGTCCAGCCTCCCTGAGGCCTCCCCCCACTGCCCAGCCCTGACCCATCTCAACCCAGCCAGGAACAACCAGTCACTGTCCCATGAGAGTGAAGCGGTGCCGTTTTCTGCTCCATCATGGCCCTACCTCCTAGGGAGCAGCCATCACTCTCTGTGCCCTGACACCACCTTTAAAAAAAATAAAGAATATTTTTGTGAGCCTGAGACTTAAATTTCATGATGCCTGGCACGTGTACCACCACATATCCAGTGCTACACTATTCGATTTCATGCACATGCGTTCTTGTGTGGTGCATCTGTCAGTAACACAGAGCTGAAGAGGGAAATAGTAAAAAATAAAGATATTGTTACTATAAATAAGTTGCAAGATGTTAATGATGTGGGGGAAATTAACTCCGACACAAAGTGGGTGATAAGTTGTTACAAAGACAGCACAGCAGACATCACAGGAAGACACACACGGAAATTACACGTACTTATTAAGTCACATATTTCTTTAGTAACCTAGATGGTAAAATTGTAAGACAACATCAAGCTTGAGAAGGCCAGTGAGTATCGTTTTAATCAGACACTGCTACAGCAAGTAGCCAAAGGAAAAAGAAAAAGAAAAAAAAAGACTGGAAACAAGGTTCAGTTTTGTATTTTAAATTTAAATCAAATTTAGAAAGCTCCGCAAACTCCTTCTGGGAGAGAGGAGCGCTGCGCCCTCCCTGCTGCCAGGCTGTCCTGGCTGCCAGCCCGGCGCCGGGGAAGGACAGAGGCCAGGACCTCTGTCCGTCGAACCCGCTTCTCTCCTCCCGGAGCGAGGAGGAGGAGGAGAGAGGAGGGTGAGGAAGGCTTGTGAGGAGCCGTGCGGCCCGAAGCCCGAGGTTCAGCTCCGCGGAGGTAAACGAGCTGGCGGGATGGTGCCACCTTTATGCTGTTTTCTACTCCTATTTATGTTGGCACCCGCCAGTTCCTTAATGACCGTCTTTAAATCAAGACAATGCAGAGATGGAGCAGTCGGTCTTGCAGCAGCTTGGGAGGGCGGGAGCGAGAGGGAGCGCTATAGCGAGGGGACGGCACTCACGAGAGGACGGTGTCCTCCTGGCCTCTGGTGACACAGGAGCTCTCGGAGTACTCCCGGAGTCCCGGAAGACCCGGGGTTTCGTTAAACTCCGTGTTTTTTTCACGCCGGCGGCGGGATCCACTCCGCTTGTGCGGTCCCAGAGCGCGGGGTGCCCAAAGGCTGCCCGTACCCTCTGCGCGGACAGCAGAGCTCTCCTACTGCAGTCATGTCACTGATTCTACCCGGGCAGGGAGGACTTTATATTTTTCTGCAACTTCTGAAGTAGCTTTGAAACAAACGGCTGCCAGCAGGAGTGCGCGTACCGAACAGGAGCCGCAAGACAGCGACGGGAGGGCTCCCTCCCCGCGAGGAAGCTAAACGCGTTGTGTCCAAACGGGCGGGACCTGCCCAGCTAGCGCAGGGGCTGCGCAGACGTTACAGGTGCCTTTAATACAGCACGGAGCTCCCGGTTAGCTCGCCCTTCCAGCGGCGAGAGGGAGGTTTGCTCAACCATAAGCATAAAGGTTAAAAAACCCGAAGTGTTTTTAGTTTCTCTTTCTTTCTTTCTTTCTTTCTTTCTTTCTTTCTTTCTTTCTTTCTTTCTTTCTTTCTTTCTTTCTTTCTCTCTCTCTCTCTCTCTCTTTCTCTCTCTTTCTCTCTCTCTTTCTTCTTCTTTTTTTTTTCCTTAAGAGTTCCCTCAGAGGATGCCGTGGCGGACCGTGTCTCCCCCGTGACAATGCCGTGGCCAAGACACGTAACGAAGGGACGGGGCGCCCAGCACCGCGCCCGATGGAGCACGACGCCTCCTTTTAATGTTATGTTATTATTATTATTATTATTTTATTTTTATTTTTTGGCCCTCTTCTTTTCCGTCCCTCCCAGCAGTGCGGCAATGAGGTGCAGGGACACATAAACGGACCTTGTCACAGAAGGTTTTTTTGTTCCGGAGTCGTCTCGTGACACGATAGCCGTGTCGTGAGCACCTTGTCCTCGCCGCAAAGCTGCCACCGGCGCATCCCAGCGCTGGGAGCGCAGCCCACGGGCGCCCACGCAGCCGCTCAGCGACTTGCTCCCAATACACTGGGAGAAAATACATCATCATCAACAACAACAACAATAAAAAAACTATTTGCTCCAGATGTTTTTCAAGAACCTTAAAACCAGATAGCTTTCCTGTGCCGAAGAGTGTAAGGCGCTCACTTAGCAGGAGCAGGGCTAAACATTTGTTGAACTGGGAAAGGAACAAATGAGAAGGTGTCACTCATAGTTCCAGCTCCCGTTGGCCCCTCCCAGCCACTTTCACCAAGGGCCCTTTGGAGCTGATGACACCGCTGGGTCCCCTCATAGGCGGCCTGATTAGATTAGACGCGATTGCTGCCGCGCACGCCCGAGCCTGGCGCGCTCACCCAACCCGCCGCGTGTGTCACGGAGGCCGGGAGCGCTGCTTGGGAGGGTCACTTGTAATTTACATTATATGTGATTAGAGGCTCTATGCATGAAAAGGCTTAATTTGCGTCAGTTTGGTTTTCGGTTTAGCGGGGTCTGTGTGAGACGTACTGTGCTGTCAAACCTTGTCTTACCTCCACGAACACTTATGTTTGGCGGGTCGATGCCAACTGTTTTTTCTTTTGTGATGGATTAAGTTAAAATAACAGTACTTTAACCTTTTCGTTGCGGCGGGAGATACTTAGAGGGATGCCGACACACAGCCGCTGTATGCAGAGAGGCTTCACATGGTCTCAGCTCCCCTCCACATCCCCCCGAGAATGTGTGAGTGAAGACGTGTTACAACTTAAAATAACGCGGCCGAACCCAGGCACCTTTGCCCGCGTCCTCAGCGAGCGCGGAGCAAGAGCGGGCTGATTAGGGGTGGGGGACAGGGGCCGTCGCTGGTGTCCCCCCCAAGGTGGCTGGTAGTGACAGCGGGAGGCTGCAACTGGCCCATTAGGCTGGTAATCCTCGTGTCGGTCCCCCTCCCCGCCTTAAATCTCTCCCTTCTTTATATCTTGACTTGCCTTCCAAAGACAACAAACAATCCCCCAAATGGAAGTGAACAGCGATCCCAGCAGCCAGGGGCTAATTTCGAGGTTTTTCGTTTGTGTGTATGTTGGTTTGTTATTTGTTTTTTTACAAGCCAGAGTTCGTTCATGTGGCTGTGGCGGGGTCTGCCGGCGTGCAGGCTGCAGAGAATAAAGGCGCTATTCCGAAACTCGGCACGACAGCAGAGAAGTTGGGGAGTGGAGGGAGCTTTTGTCCTCTGCCGGGGAGTAAATCACCCTCCGCACAAAGCTGGCTTCTCAAGAGAACGGGTAGTTTGTAAGAACGAGACCCGGCTTTTAAAACGAGCCTCGATCGCAGCGTTATTAACGGCAGTAATAGTCGTGAAAATCGTAATCTGACCGGACGCCGCAGGGGCCCGTGAGTGCTGCGAACAGACGTGTTTTCCGCAACCTTCCGGGTCCCTCCGAGAGCCGCCAGATAAACCACCCCAAAGCCCCTTCCTCCGTGTCTGCCCCTCTCCAGCTGTAGGGAATAGGCGCTGAATGGGAGAAGCTGGTGAAATGCAGCCCGCTAGGGCAGGAGGGCTGCTGTAAAACACTTCCAGGAAAAGATTAATGCACGCAACAGAAGGTTAGAGAAGTTATTATCCTTTTCAATTCATTTTTTACTTAAAAACGCAATGGAATTATTCATTTTATTAAGGAGGAAGAAATTAAAGATTAGGCTTTAGGCGGTATTTTACCTCCCTCTAATCGCCTCTGGGATCGGATTGGAATAATCCTGACGAAGAGATGAATTCGCCGGTGACTCGGATTTTGAGTGCATGTAGAGATATGTTATGATAATAATGCAAGTGAGCAATATCAAGAACATAGCTTAAGAGCGAATGAAATACAAAACCGATTAAGGGGAAAAAGAGAACAGCAGCTTTCCCAGGGAGAATGGTTGTCAACTCGAGGCAAGGCTCCGACGGTTCATAGTTCCGGGGCGGCCACCGGCCCCGTCCGTCCCCTCGGGGCCGCCAACCTGCAGGGAGGTCCAAACACCGACACAGTTCGGGCTGCTGCAGCCCAAAGGGGCCTAAAAAAAAAAAAAAAAAAAAGACAAGAGTTTGCTCTCCCCACCGGCAATAGATCTCAGTCTCGGTAATACTTCCCTTCACTGTGGCGCATTTGCAAAAAAAAAAAAAAATGCAGCTCGGCAGATATGTGACATTGCTTTAAAATGCAGTCCCTGCGTGAAACGCAAAGGGGAAAATGAGAAAATCACCAACATAGTTTTAATAAGTGCAGCTATATTGTAGGCATCGTCAATAACAGAAAACAAACAAACAAAAAAAATCCGTTTCTGAGGCGAGAGGATGATGTCCGACAAAACAACCTAGGGTTTTTAGATCGTTATTCAATAATTAGCTTTGCACATAAGTTTTGGTGAATACTACGAAAGAAAGGGAGACAAAACCACGACGAAGAAAGGGATAATCAAGCTCCAGCTTCTCAGAAAGTCTATTCCAGTACTGAAGAGACCAGTATAATTGTAATGGCAGGGCTGTAATTGCTGCTTTGGGATATTTACCCTGCTCAAATGACACTACATATTTTACTTTCAAAGACATGTCAAGAAGTCAATCCCAAAAAGACCAGTTAAGAGCAAGCTGTTAACATATTAAGTATATGGGATTTGGAGCCTCTAAACCCCCACTAAACAATAATTCCCTTCTTCAGCACTAATCAAGAGGAAATTTGCCTGGATTGAATTAAACGTAAATTGCTCTGGAGGAGGAAACTCTCCTCCAGCAGGCGCAAAATAACGAGAGCAACCGACAGGGCGGAGAAGCGGCTCCGTGGCCGCGGGGCGCATCCTTGGCCGGGGCTGCGGGGCGCGGGTCCGACCCGGTGCCGCTGCCTGGCGGCCTCAGGCACCTTCCCTGCCCCTCTGACTGCACCGGGTTAGTGGCCCCGGGAGTGCCGGTGCGGGCCGAGACCAAGGCAAG